CGCAGGCAGGGGGAAGGACAAGGAGGTTCAAACATAGGAGTACAAGGAGAAGTTTGCCCAAGCCATGCTCAAGAGGGAATGCCATACAACCCGCTACTATCCCACCCCTAAACCCTAAATCTTCCACCACAGGGAGCGGCGTGCATTCTGTTCCGCGGGCAGAAGGACAAGGAGGCGCAGACGGAGGAGTATGTGGAGAAGTTTGTCAGCCCGTACTCGGCTGCAAGCGCTGGGTTTGTGGACGCTGTGATCATGCCCCAGGACACCCGCAAGCTGCTGTGTCGTGAGCTGGACCGCCTCAGAAGCAAGGTGGGTGTGGTTGCTGTTTGTTGAGTACTGGACAATGGCGTGTATGTATGCTGTCTTCAGGAGGTGTGTGAGATGGCTAGCTTGGGGTTCGTTGGCGCTGTGATCGCGCCCCAGGAAACCCACAAGCTGCTCTGCTGCGAGTTGGACCGCCTCAGAAGGTGCGTGAGATGGCTAGCTTGGGGGGGCGCTAAGTTCACGCCCCAGGAAGACAGAAGGAAGATGTTGTTTTTTTAGAATTCTCAAAAACCAACTCCAATGAGATGGCCAGCCTGGAGCTCGTGCATGCCATTATCATGCCTCATGGCATGAGGACGATGGTGCCTAACTTCCAGTGCTTGCAAGAAGCCAGGGAGTATTGCTGCCTCACTATATTTTCCACATCGGTGCCGCTAACCCTGACTCTTGGGAACAGGGGCTGAAGAACCCCCCTAAGAAGCACGACAACCTCCCCCTCTAAGCGTACTGGGTAGGAGCCCCGAACCTCAAGGCACACCTGCTATTCTGGGCAAATCTGCCAGGCCCGGCAACTCTTCAATTTGATCTTGAATTTGTATCTTATTTTCCACCTAAGTTGAGCATCAATATTGCCCTCCATCAGCAAGAAACCCACATGGTTTCAGTTTATATTTACCTTTCAATCCTCGTGTTCATCTGTTGAGCTGATTCTTCCTGAAATAGTTCAACCATTCTGTACAACATTTTCCGGTGCAACTAATTGAGCTGCATGCACTGACTAGGTTCTTAGCGTAGAAACAAGTGACTAGAATGAGATGGTACAACAGCATATAACCTAAGGGGTTGTACTCTATTAGTGCAACCCCATGGCTTGCACTCAGCTTGTCGTCCTTGTTTGTGTGTGTGCATGCATGGCATGGAATGAATTGTGAGTCTATGTCATTGCTATCCAGTGCTTGTGTGTGTGTTTGAATGGTGTATCACAATGTGGTTTGTGTCGGTCAAGACATTAGCGAGTTTTTACAACTCGCATGTCAAGTCGTCGTTTGTGTGTCGCATGTGTTTTTTCTATTTTGTCGAGTGTGAAGTGTCCATCGCGTCGCAGGTGTGTGCAGCAAGCCCCCATCAACTCAAGAAGAATTTATATTGCACATCCAAGACCAAGAGCTCAAGACTTCAAGCCCAAGGGACGCGGATAAATATTAAATAGTGAAAATAGTAACGCTACTTCGTGTAGTGTTACATTTCACTTGGTGTAGCCCCTTGGAGGGTTGGTTTCGAGACTCTTCGTGGTTGGGGACTCTGTGGTGGTGTACCACCAACCTGGACCTCGGCTCTTGGGGTATGTAGAGGCTGGGAACCATCTCCCTCTCGAATTCTTCTTGCAAAGTTTGTACTTCTAAGACTATAGTGGCTGCTATACCTCCTGCCAGTCAAACCGCCATAGCCTCGTCAAATCTTTATGGAATTTCATGATTCAACTTGCTGCTGATAGACAATAGCAACGCGCTCTAGATCCAACTTACAGATCACCGTTTGCAACAGCGAGCAGATCGTTATCAATATTTGAAGCCGTCTGACGGAAATCCGACTGTGCTCTCTATCTCTCATTATAGGCACATCTAAGCCTATTGTGATTATAACATACTCTATATGCGCATGCACCTAGCTAGCCTATAACATATACAAATATATATGTTGACACACCCCCTAGGCTAGACAAGGGGCAGCGACTAGGACGAGAAACGCAGCTCATGGTGGCACTACTAGTCCAACCTCTGAGGCAAGGGCACTACTAGACCAAGATCTAAATAGTGCCGCTGATGCTCTTTAGGCGCAAGCGCCTTCGTAAAGATATCAGCCGTGTCGGCACCTGAGGTCAAGTGAACTACGCGAGCCTGGCGTCACTGCTGTAGCTCGCGGGGGAGGAAGTACCGCAGTTGGATGTGCTTCACTCTGCCCTCCAGTCTAAGCTCCTGACAAAGGAGGATCATGGCCCTGTTGTCAGCGTACAGGATCTGGGCAGAGCTAGGCCACTCACCTAAGTCTGTTTGCAAGAAAGTCAGCCAGCGGAGCTCCTGTAATGCCATGGCACCAGCGTAGATCTCAGCCTCACAGCGAGACTAGGCAACAGACGATGAGGGGGTGGACCTTCACGAGATGGCGCCTGCACCAAGGCTAAAGGAGTAACCCTGGGAGGACATGCGCGTCGCAGCGCCGTTCGCCCACGTGCGTCTGTGTGCCCTATAAGGACCACTGGTCAGCGTCCTCCTAGCACTAGCCCCATACCCGATGTGCTTGCGAGATAACGCAAAACCCTCTTAGAGGCCGACCAGTGCTGTGGTCGGTGTCTGCCTGTGGCCACAAAGCGAGCCAGGATGCTGAGAGGGTATGCGAGATCTGGACAAGTGCAAGTCATCAAGGGCATAAGGCAACCCACAAGCTCTGCGTAAGGACCACTAGGCTCTACAAACACCTGAGGGAATGGAGTCGAGAGTCTGTGATCTACTGGCAGAGGTGTGGACAGTGCGGAGGAGAACTGAAGAGCGAACCTCTGAAGGACCCGGCGTACCAAGTGGGACTGTGTGAGAGAGATGGTGTGCGCTGCTCTGTCCCTGGAGATCTGCAGGCCAAGGTAGCGGCGCAGCTCTCCTAGGTCAGTGCAAGTGTGTCTCCTCAGCAGTTTGGCCTTCACGAAGGCCGGCGCATCTCTGTCTATTATAGCCAAGACTAGGTCGTCTACGTAGACTAGGATGTAGAACTGGGTCTGGCCAGCATGAACGAAGAGCGAGGGGTCTGCAGGTTAGTTAACGGAGAACGCAGTGTGTTGTGCCACTCGAGTGGCGCTTGCTGACACCCTCGCGCTGACAGAAGCCTCTAGCTACGTAGTGCACCTTGAACACCGGCGGCTCTGCAAGAGGACGATTCACCTTGAATATCAACCGGCCATCGACTACGTTCACCCGAGGTGGGGGAACTGCGTCGACGTAGGTGCCGGTGGATCGCTAAGATGCCATCTCCGCGTCCATGGCAGCTATCCATTGAGAGGCCCAGAGTCCCGAGGTCGACTCAGCATAGGTGCGAGGGGTCAGGATGTCGAAGGCGTCTGGGTCCCCCTTAGCGACTGGCAGCATGGAGCAGAGATGAGGCGCGGCCTCGGGCAGGAAAGCAAGCTCGTACTGCCGGTCCTCGAGGACGTCACTGCCAAGCCGACAACACCGGTGCCACCCCCGAGACTGCTGGGACAAGCCACGACAATAGCCCCAGGACAAGCACCCTCCTCAACGCCAGCACCTTCAGAATGTGCGGACCCCTACGGCGGCTGCTGCTGCGGCTGCGACGGCTGCTGCTGCGGCGACGGCGGAGGAGGAGATACCTGGGCGGAGACAAGCGACGAGGACGGTGCCGCGGGGCCACCAGAGTCAGCAGACTCCTCGACCAGGACAACTAATGGGAGGGGAGTGACGTGAGACACACCAGAAACAGGGGCAGGGAAACCGGGAGACCTCGGTGGGGAAAGCGGTAGTAGAAGGAGACAGACGGCAGGAGTGCCGGCGCAGAAAGGAGGCAAGGCCGGAAGGTCGGGGGCGGCAGAGCGGCACGGCGACGCAGCGACCCGGCAGCGCAGCTACACGGCGTCACGGCGTCACGGCGGCACTGCGGCGCGGCGGTTGCACGGCACTAGGCTGGTGCGGGCTGTAGCCGGCAGAGCAGGTGCTTGTGGAGCTGGGGGCCGGCGAGTTAGGGGCCGGCTAGCTGGGGGCCGGCGAGATGGGGCCTGGCGAGCGCGGGGCCAATGAGCGCGGGGCCGGCAAACGCGGGGCCAGTGGGCGCAGGGCTGGCGAGCGCGGGGGCCAGCAAGCGCGGGGGCTGGCGAGCACGGGGCTGGGTAGTGCGGGGCCAGCGAGAACGGGGCCAGCGGGTGCTGGGCTGGCTAGGCGCGAACGGGGCCAGCGAGGCGAACGGGGCCAGCGGGGCGTACGGGGCCAGCGGGGCGCACGGGGCTAGCGGGGCTCGACGGGGCTGGGGCACGAACGGGGCCAGTGAGGCGTGGACGGGGCCAGCGGGGCGAACGGGGCCAGCGGGGCGTACGGGGCCAGCGGGGCGCACGGGGCTAGCGGGGCTCAACGGGGCTAGCGGGGTGTGAACGGGGCCAGCGGGACGCATGGGGTCAGCGGGGCGCAAACGGGTCCAGCGAGGCGCTAAGGGGCCAGCGGGGCGCTAAGGGGCCAGCGGGGCGCTAAGGGGCCAGCGTGGCGCTAAGGGGCCAGCGGGGTGCTAAGGGGCCAGTGCGGCGCGAAGGGCTAGGGCGGAAGTGCGTGGGCAGATCTAACCTAATCTGATACCATCTTAGCGTAGAAACAAGTGACTAGAATGAGGTGGAACAACAGAATATAACCTAAGGGGTTGTACTCTATATGGGCATGCACCTAGCTAGCCTATAACATATACAAATTTATATGTTGACATGGGTACCTGTTTACCTGCAGCGTGAATCATTCACTAGAACGAAAGACATGATATTGATTGAAGCCTACAGCCTAACAAAACAACGTTTTCTATGGAGTTGGGAAAATGAGTGTAAGATTGAAGGCTTCATTGGAGAAATGACCGCCCCACTCATACGGAATATTGATGCTATATTTGCAGAGAGCGGCGACTTTCACAACACTACCCCGTCCAACTGGATTTTTTCATTCTGTTCAGTTTCCGAGGTTTGCTTAGAAGAACAATACCAGAATCTAAGGGGTTTTCAACATTCTGAAATGATAACATCTCATGCTCTACTGGTTGCCTGCTTGCAGCCCACCAACAAATGAAAACCCAGTCTACATATGGAGGGGAGAGGTTCACCAAGCAAGTGAACAAATACCCTGCATTTGTCTACAAACTACATCCCCCCTGGTCTCTTTCATTACCCCACTCCACAGATCAACATCATCCAACAACCCCCCCCCCCTCCCAAGTTTCCTCTGCCACACCCCCTTCCTCAGCATAGCTGAGCTGAGCTTCCCGATGTGTAACCACCCCCGCCTGCTCAGGCCTGAGCTTACAGGCGCTTCCACCACGGCTTGATGAACTCGAACTCGCCCTTAGCGCAGCCAGCAGGGTACGTCGCGGTGTTGAAAATCGCGTAGTAGTTTGTCGGAGTCTGGATCATCGCGTCAATGGTGTCCTTGAGAGTGCCAGCGCCGACGGTGACCGTGCTGGCCCCGGTCCACTTGCCCTTGAAACGGTACTCGTATGGGATGTACTTCTGGAGGAACTTAAATACGCGCAGCTCGTACGTGGTGTTCTTGTACGTTTGCCCTGCGGCCAAGTCGATAACCACGCTATTGTCGGCCGCGTTATTGACGGTGAACGCGGTGGGCTCCCCGGGCTCCTTCGTCTCGGACTCGGCGCCGAAGCGGATGTTGTAGTCGTCGTCCTTTCTGCTCACGGAATCGCCACGTTTGGGTAAAATCAATCATCGATTCCCGCTAAAAATGGTGCATGATTGCGTGCAAATTGCGAAAACGCATCACTCTAATTTTGCCCGTTTGCAGTAATCGTGAGAGGAAAAACGAACCAGCGCAGAAACGATTACGCGAGGGCGTGTTTTAAGAGACATCAAACCATTTGGGAGACACGAAATGATTTCTGCTCGTGCTATCTTACTTGTAGATTGCCATGTAGGCGTAGCCGTCTGAGACCTTGCTGGCGCCGTCCACATGGTCCAGTTCAGCGTATAGCGAGCCCTGGTACGTGCCCAGGAACACGTCGTTCGTGTGGATATTCTGCAGCTGAGTGCGCATGCCCGGACGCGCGAATCCTGCGAGCGCATTCATGAGAGAAAATTGCGTCAGCTTTTGCGCTCTCTGACGAAAACACTCTCATTCAGTGTACCCGTGAGAAATGACGCATTTTGACATGAAATGGGGTTGACCACGTAGGGTTTCTCAAATACTAACCTACTGCGGCGAGGCATGCCAACGTGACTGCAAAAACAGCGAGTTTCTGAGCCATTACGGCCTTTCTGGCGAGTTTAGGCAGTGGAGGCTGGAGTACTGGCGAGCTTAGGAAGCTTGTTCCAGTCAATCGATGATGGCTGAGTTGAATGAAATTCTCGAGGCTGAAATGTCGAATTTATGGATTTGGCGAATGTGGGATACGAAGGGAAAATTCGGCCCGCCGCATCTCGAGCCGCGTCGTGATGTGCATTCTGCACGTACACGCCGCCGAACACGCGAAGTGAGAAGCCACTGCCTAGCACATTTCTTTAGGGCGGTGGATAACTTGCTGGAGAGTTCTGAAGGTGCATGGCAGTACCGAATTGAAGCTGGCTATAGTAACAGTTCGGTTGTGGTTTCCCCTCAAGACCCCACGCCATCCAATCGGAAGCCACCCTGTCACAACCTAGAAATTGGTCGCAACCCCAACAGAAAGGCGTGCAAGTTCTATCAACGGAGTGAATAAGCTAAATGGCTACAGTGGTCTAATACGCTTGTTAAGAAATAGGGCAGCTATATGCTACCGTATATGCAGCTATAGGGTTCCGATGAACAGGGAAGGTGAAGGAACACATGGTCCGGGTTCAAACAATGAGGGCGTCTTTACGAACAGATTCCAGCGTGGCCCATGCAGTACATCTTGGAAGGGCTTTTGATGTAATCCCATGTAGGAGAAATATGATATGGATTCATGCGAAGGTCACTCGACAAGCATGCCATAGCAACAGCATTCGCAGCGTGATGTTCTTTATTACTTTCTATCCCATGTACTGCCTAATCAACATGCCTTGTGCTACCCTGCCTGGTGAGTGAAATGTAAACCCAGTGTCCATCTACCAAGTCAGCTAGTCTTGTCGTCCAGTGCCATGTGACCACCGCATCGCTCTGTCCAGTCCCCTATACTTGAACATCCGGTTCATAGAGCGTCCCCCATGGACCGTACCACTCATGCCCTCCAGTCCTCTCTACGTATACATCTAGTCCAGGTACCGCTCCATGGCACTCTGAGGATAAAGCTGCAGCATGGTCAACCCCTACCACTCCACACTCATCACGTCTCCCTTGTCCACCTGCACTTGTACAGCCTCCCCGATGTTGTAGGCGATTTTTTAGAATTCCCAAAAATCTTCACCAAGTCATGCCCTCCAGTCCTCCGTACGAGCGCATCCAGTCCACAGACCGCTCCATGGCACTCTGAGGCGTGAACTGTGGCACAGCCTGCAGAAGCCGCAGCACCACCGGTTTGTAGCTCATCAGCCGCTCCCCTACCTGTGCTACTCGCTTCCCTGCATGCTACCACCTCATGCCCTCCGGCCCTCTGTGCGTGTACATCCAGTCCATAGACCGCTCCATCGCACTCTGAGGCGTCCACTGTAGCACGGCCTGCTGCAGCCACAGCACCACGGGGTTGTAGATCGTCAGCCACTGCCCCCTGTTGTGCATGCTACCATGTCACCCTTTCCTCCCCTGTACCTGAAAGCTCAACACCACCAGGTTGTAGCTGGTCTGCCACTGCCCTGTGTGTCTCGACACCCCTATCGTGATCCCACATAAAGCCCTTCCTCTCCCCATCTACCACCTCACCCCCTCCTGTGCGTGCTACCACCTCATGCCCTCCGGTCCTCTGTACTTGTACATCCAGTCCATCGACCGCTCCATGGCACTCTGAGGCGTCCACTGTAGCACGGCCTGCTGTAGCCGCTGCACCACGGGGTTGTAGCTGGTCTGCCACTGCCCCGTGCGCCGCGACACGCCTATCATGCGCCTCACCCGCGCCTCCCTTGCTGCTGCGTACGCTGCTAGAGCGCCCGGCACTGCTGCTGATGCCTCGTTCCGCCACTCGTAGGTGCTGCTGCTGCTGCTGCTGCTGCTGTTGTTGCTGCTGTTTCCATTGGTGCTCGTGCTGCTGCTGGTGCTGCTGCTTCTGCTGTGTTGCATGGTTGGAGCAACACAGTACTTGGTCAAAGCCCGTGCCAGCACAGCAGCATCTTCAATCGCACTGTTAGCCCCCTGGTTCACAGTCGGCAACATGGCATGAGCCGCATCCCCCAGCAGGACCACCCTATTCTCTCCCCCCACCACCACTCGTCCCGCCACCTTCCCCCCTCCGCCTCCCCCCGCCCCCCCATTCGGCGCGCCCCCCACCCACGGCGCGTCGGCGGGCAGCTCGAAAAACCCGATTTTGACCGCCCGAACGGTCCGCGAAAACATGGCATGGGCATCGTAGGGATGGAACCAGTTCCACATGTCGTCCATCCCCTTTAGGGCATCACTCGGTGTCCACATAGCGAGGTTATCCGCAGTGATCAGCTCCTGCTCCGATAGGAACCAGTACTGCTTGTCGCGCCCCATGCTCCACGTGCCGTAGACCTTTCCCGGGCCCAGCACCCAGTAGGCGCTGCCCTTTAGCCAGTCCGGGACGGACGAGGTGATTCCGAGGATGCAGGAGATGCCACTGTACGCTGCAGACCCACGGGTGGGACGCCGGTCCTGAGAGCGAGGGAGGGAGTGAGTAAGCGAGTGAGAGAGAGAGAGTGTGTGTGTGTGTGTGTGTGTGTGCGTGTGTGTGTATTTCTGTGTTTGTGTATGTGTGATTTTGAGATAGAGACGCTTGGGTACATTTAAGGGCCTGTGCATGGAGGTGGTTGCTGCTGGGTGTAAGCCAGCTTGATTGCGACAACGTTGTGGCATGACTGCACACATGCATGGATGATGACGTGGCAAGATGGCAGCACCCATATGCGGATCATGGCATGGCATGAGATGGATGACGTGGCATGACAGCACTCACATGCGGGTCATGACGTGGCATAACAGCAGAGCGGACGGCTGATTTCACCCCATCTGCTCCCACCACCACATCGCCCACCTCACATGTGCCATCCTCAAAGTGCACGCGCACGCCTGGTGGGAGAGAAGGGAGGGGAACAGAGGAATAAATAGAATATTCCGTAAGGAAAGAGTGCTCCCACCCCCACATCGCCCACCACGCATGTGCCATCCTCGAAATGCACGGGCACGCCTGGTGGGATAGAAGGGAGCAACAGAGGAACAGGGAGAGGTGAGCAACAGGAGCGTCAACTGATCCATGAGTTCTGCAGCAAGCTCAGGACAGAGTGTTGCACCACCACATCCATCCCCCACCTCGCATGTGCCGTCCTCGAAATGCACTCGCACGCCTGGTGGGATAGGCAAGCAACGCAGAGGAGATAAGGGAAGCAAGTAAGGGGAGAAGGGAATACAGAGTGACGTTTGTAGCCGAGTACGGAGTTAGATGTACTCCGCTACACTACTCGGCTACATCCGTCACTCTGATCTGTCACTGCTGGGATAGAGAACGTCTCAAAACTTCTCCAAAATCCAGTTCAGGGTTCAGGGTTTACGATTTAGGGTTTGGGGTAAAAAGACGCATCCGCGCTCCTCTCGGAGAAGTTTTGAGATGTCTCATAACTAACGTACCTGACCACCAAAAACGCACCGTGCTCCTATCGGAGAAAGCTGGAACCGAGAGACAGAGACGAAAGGAGTTCACTAGCCTTGCTACGAGCCCCTCACATACAGGCTTTGCATACCTTTCCCTGGCCCCAGGTTCTGCACGGAGATGCACTTCTTGTTGAACAGAATGGGCGGCACTGGCGCTGACTCAGAGGCTGCCATCACCTCGTGGACCAACAGGCCCTGCAAGAGGAAAGGGGAGGGAGGGGGGAGTGGGGGAGGTGTGGGGGTGGGGGGAGGGGAGGGGAGGGGCACTTGCTGCTGAGGAGGTCGTGCCACACTGCCGATGAGTCGGCACCTGCCATCACCTTTGAGGCGCCTCAAAAGCCAATGAGTCGGCACCTGCCATCACCTCGTGGACAAACAGACCCTGCAAGAGGGAAGGGGAGGGGCAGGTGGGGGAGGTGGGGGAGGAAGCCATCGTGGGGTAGCCATAGCGCCCTCAATGTGACTTGTGCACTCCGTCCCCCCTTCCCCCCTCCCTCCCTCCCTCCACGCACCTGCAGCTCTGACTGTTCCACGGCCACCATTGGGAGCCATAGCGTCCCTCCAAGTCCTTGTGACCACTAGCGCATCATCACATCTTCCCACAACACCCACCCGCCCGCCCACCCGCCCGCCCACCCACCCGCCCAACCACCCACCCACCCACCAACCTACCCACCCAGCCACCAACCCACCCATCCAGCCACCAACCCACCCATCCAGCCACCCACCCACCCATCCAGCCACCCACCCACCCACCCACTCTCCCGCCCACCCACCCACCCGCCCACCGGCAGCTCTGCTCGCTCCATGGCCATCATGGGGTGGCCACAGCGATGAGATCTGCAGGAAAAGTGAACCTTGGTTCGAGCTGCCTAGTCTTGAACGTATTTTCTGGTGCATTGCGCCCCTCTGTCAACTCCACCCGCCCACCGGCAGCTCTGCCCGCTCCATGGCCATCATGGGGTAGCCATATCGTCCCTCCCTCCATATCGCTAGTGCATCACCCATTCACTCACCCACCCACCCACCTGCAGCTCTGCCCGCTCCATGGCCATCATGGGGTAGCCATGGCGCACCTAGGATCATGTGGCTACTAGCTTACACCCACCCCCCTCTTCCTCCCTCTGCCGTGTCCCTTGACGCACCTGCAGCTCTGCCCGCTCCATGGCCATCATGGGGTTGCCACGGCGCCCCTCCAAGTCATTGTGACCACTACTGCATCATCACATCTTCCCTCCCCACGCACCCACCCATCCACTCACTCACCCGCCCACCCGCCCACCCGCCCACCTGCAGCTCTGCTCGCTCCATGGCCATCATGGGGTAGCCATAGCGCTTAGACATGAATGAGTAGTCGAACGTGCGAAGCTTCCTGCCCCCTTCCGTGTACGTGTGCAGTGACGAGATGGGGCCACTCAGGTTCTGCAAAGCAGAACGGCGGTCGGGAGCATAAATAATGTCATGTACTACACAGATGATCTTTTAGAATTCTAAAAAATCACTTCTAAGATCACTCAGGAGATTACGAACATAAACCATGTAACATCTAAGCTGACTCAAACATGCCCCTTCTATTTCTCTCAGCCCCTCCTCAGCCCCTCCACAATTTTTACCTTCCCCAGTTCTACCTCCGCCCAATCTACCTCCTCACGCCCGTTTCCTCATGCATGAGTCTTGTCGTACAGCCCAAGCCCATCCAGGACATGCAGTTCTACCTCCCCCGCCACTACCTTCCCCCGACCAGTTTTGCTTCACCAGAACCTTTTCATAGATCCTGAGCCGGAGTAGGACCCACCATATCCGTTTTCCTCCTCACGCCATGCAGCCCCCCAGCAGGCGCACTGCGCAATGCCCTTTCTCTCTTAGCTAAACGATTCACTGCACCTGGACGGACCTCCTTCTCGTACAGCCCCAGTCCGTCCAGCACGCGAAGCCCATTAGCCCCCAGTTACAGCCCTGCACAAAGCGCCTCTTGATCCACATTCTCCCAAGACCAACTTACCCCAGTTCTACCTTTCCCAGTTCTACCTTCTCCAGTTCTACCTTCCCCAGTTCTACCTCCCGCATTTCCCTGCAGTTCTACCCGTTGCTCTCACCTGGACCTTCTCATACAGCCCCAGCCCGTCCAGCACGCGCAGCCCATTGGCGCCCAGCGACAGCCCCGCGCCAACCGCCTGGATCTGCGGCGCCTGCTCGAACACCGTCGCCTCAAAGAGCGACTCGGAGGGAGATCCGGGAGGCGCGGGCGTCGCGGAAGCAGCGGCGGAAGCTGTAGCGGCAGGGGAGGCGGATGTAGCGCGTTGCAGGATGGCGGGGAGCGTGCGGGCGGTGGTTTGGCGGAGGGCGAGAGAGAGCGTGCAGCCGCCGATGCCCGCTCCCACGATCAGGACGCGTAGCTTGCGCATTGTGACTATAGCGCGATGTGATAGGAGCGGGATCACGTGAGCTTCGAAGTAGTCATAGAAAAGCTGGAGCTCCTGTCAGGAGTGTGTGAGACTGAGGGTTGGAGCTAGATGCTCTTTCAAATCCGTATGCATGCAGGGTTGGAGATCGGAAGCTATTTTGTAAGCATGCAAGGCGAACTGTATGTGCGGTCCTGCCAGAAAGTAGAAGAGCCCTGAATGGAGCGATCGTCGCGATGGTTGCCGGATGGCAGGCGACGCCGAAAGCGACAGCGACAGCGACAGCGACGGCGACGGCGACGCTAGCGACGGCGAACGATGGAGAAGGAGACGCTTGAGATATCGACGGTGGGGTAACCAGGTTACAGTGAAGCGATCCAGCCACTTTTCAGAGGCTGAGGCGGGAGTGAGGAGCGGAGGAGGAGGCTCGGCGCGGTGGAGCTGAGGGGTCGGCGATAGCCTGTGGATGAGGTGTAGCGTGGCGGAGACGCTACACGGCCCGAGCCTGCGAACGGCAAAGTGGCATGGGATTTGGAGGTCCCAAAATGGGCGAAGCTCGAGAATGGGCGAATCCCGAGTAATGGGTGAAGCTCGAGCTTTGAGCGAAGATTGAGAATCGGGAAGAGCTCGAGAAATGGGGCAGACTTCGAGAAGCCAGCGGGGCTCGGGCTTTGGGTGAATCTCGAGAAAAGCGCCAACGGGGCAGGAAGGAGGACACAGCCTTTCGTCATACGCGATACAAGCCAAGACAGCAGCATTCACCAAGAACTTCCCAGTTGAAGGTTTGCTATTTTCTGCGTAGGGCGAACAAATGCGTTCGCGGGGGATACATGGATTGTACAATAATTAGCAATATGCATGTTAATTCTGTTCTGAGTAAGTAAAACAACGAGTCCTATAGAAATTATACATCGCAAGCTACATGTCATGTTTGTTGTGATTGAGCAATGTGGGTGTTGTATGCTGAGCACCCACTGAAGCAGGTACAGGGACCACCCAGGAGCTGACTGAGGAAAGCACGCCTTCCTCCCCTCGAGCACACTCCATAACCACACGTGCTGCGTCTGCTCTGCGCTTCCCTCGCCGCACTTGCCGGAGCAGCCATTTCATCCAGCTGCGCCTCGCCGTCGTGACTCTCACACCATCTCTCCTTCCCATCCTCCCATGTCCTGCGACTCACTGCCTCACGCGTGGCTCGCTTTTCCTTCCCATCCTCGCAACTTCCGCTAGCGAACCTCCTTCGCGCAACTGCTATCCGCTTCCACGTCCCTGGTCGTCGACTCAGACGCCTTCGTTTGAGTTTTGAGTCGACTCGATAGCAACCTCGCACCTTCCGCTAGCGGGCCTCCTTCCCTGTACGAAAGGTGCCGGACGAAAGAGTGCCTTTCCGAGGCGCCGCGTCCTGGAAACCTAGACCTCGCGCATCCCGAGGCACCTTTCGCACAGCTGTACGTACGGCGTCGTCTGCGCGGACATACTAGCGCATTCTTACGTTTCTCAAGGCAGCACTCCACGGCATTGGCACAGGCCTACCACGCACCTTACCTCCCCACCTATTCGTTTCTCTGCAGCGTAGCATGCCGCCCGCATTCTCCGCTGCCACGTGGCAGCTGACGTGGCGCACAATCCCGGGTGCGTCCTTTGAGGCGCCTCAGAAGCCGACGCAGCTTCGTGAAAGCGTCCACGACACCTGGATTGGGCCCAGGTGGAAGGGGAACACGTGGCAGCTCAGGAGTGGGCGAGCGGCTGCAGGGAGATGCAACAGCGATGGGAGAAGGGTTCGCGTGGGACGGCTACGAGCAGGCATGGATGACGTGAGTGCGGGGATGAGAGTGTGGGGAGGTGAGGTGAGGTGAGGTGAGGTGAGGTGAGTGCGGGGATGAGAAGATGTCAGTGTGGAAATGGGGTGAGGTGAGTGCGGGGAGGCTACGAGCAGGCATGATGAGGTGAGAGTGGGTACTGAGTGAGTGTGGGTATGGGGTGCGTGTGGGTATGGGGTGCGTGTGGGTATGGGTTGCGTGTGGGTATGGGTTGCGTGTGGGTAGGGGGTGCGTGTGGGTATGGGGTGCGTGTGGGTATGAGGTGCGTGTGGGTATGGGGTGCGTGTGGGTATGGGGTGCGTGTGGGCATGGGGTGCGTGTGGGTATGGGGTGCATGGGGATTCGCGACTAGCATGTGAGAGGGGCATCTCCCGTGCCCACCTCTGCCATGCGCCCTTCCCTTGTTTGCGTCGCCTGGCATCAGCCCATGCAGCCAGCCAAGGCCGGTGGGAGGGCAGTCGCGGCGGGAGCTACTAGCAGAGTATGTGAGAGGTGTGCATTGTTTACCTAGAGCGCGGCTTCTTTGCCCTCTAGATTGTGGCACCTCTAGAACTCAACCCTTGTGCTTTTCTTCCCCACTTGCCCCATAGTTTTGAGGCGCCTCAAATCAAGAACTCAACCCTTGTGCTTTTCTTCCCCACTTGCCCCATAGTTTTGAGGCGCCTCAAATCAAGAACTCAACCCTTGTGGTCCTTTTCCCCACTTGCCCCATGCCGCCCCTCCATCAGCAACAGCAGCCCGTGCAGCCGGGGGGGTGGGGGGGGGGGGGCAGGGCAGTCGCAGTGGTTTCAGCTGCTGGCTGGAGTAGTATGCGAGGGGCGCAGCACCACTGTATGCCTCTCTCCCGTTCTCCCATGAGGAGTCTGTTCTTTAGGCGCCTCATAAATAGACTCCTCCTCGGCCAGGGGGAGGGCAGTCGCAGCGGCAGCTGCTGGCTGGAGGAGTATGTGAGGGGCATGGCACCACTGCGTTACTCCCTCCCTTAATCCCATGCGTTAAGCGGCCCCATTTCTCTTCCCTCCTCCCTTTCCGCCCTCCTCCAAACCCTTCCTCTCTTCCCCCCAACAGCAGCAGCCCGTGCAGCCAGGGCTGGTGGGAGGGCAGTCACGGCGGCAACTGCTAGCGGAGTATGTGAGGGGCGCTATCCCACTCTATTGCTCCCTTGGTCCCATGTTGTGTCGTCATCTACCCTGCTCCCTTCCTTGCTTTGCGCAGCAGCAGCCAGTGCAGCCAGGGGGACCCACCTCTCCTATGGGCGGGCAGTCGCGGCGGCAGCTGCTGGTGGAGTATGTGAGGGGCGTGCAGCCGGACTTCATGGAGAAATTCTTCCAGCACGCTGAGCCACAGGTGGGTGGGATGCTACAGCTCACACCACAGGTGGGTGGGATGCTACAGCTCACACCACAGGTGGGTGGGATGCTACAGTACTGCTCACACCACAGGTGGGTGGGATGCTACAGTACAGCTCACACCACAGGTGGGTGGGATGCTACAGCTCACACCACAGGTGGGTGGGATGCTACAGTACAGCTCACACCACAGGTGGGTGGGATGCTACAGTACAGCTCACACCACAGGTGGGTGGGATGCTACAGTACAGCTCACACCACAGGTGGGTGGGATGCTACAGTACAGCTCACACCACAGGTGGGTGGGATGCTACAGTACAGCTCACACCACAGGTGGGTGGGATGCTACAGTACAGCTCACACCACAGGTGGCTTGAAGCGGGTATGTTGCTGATGGGAGCTCGCATGAGCAGTGCCCAGCTGCTGCTGCTGCTGCTGCTGCTGCTGCTGCTGCTGCTGCTGCTGCTGGCTGGTGAAGTGGAGTATGTGAGGGGCGTGCAGCCGGACTTCATGGAGAAGTTCTTTCAGCACGCCGAGCCGCAGGTGGGCTGGTACCTAGGTACAGCTCGCGGAGCCACAGTGAGCATGCACAAGATTTGGATAACCGCTGCTGACTTTTGAGTCGACTCAAAAGCATGCACAAGATTTGGATAGCAGTGAAATTCCTTCACAACCGACCAGGTGATAGTGCAATGCAACTCAAGAGCACACGGCCATTGCATAATGGTTCTCCTCCGCGTCTTTCTCACTCAGCGAACGATCATACACGGCAGAGCAGAACACCCCGATAATTCCTTCTAGCACCTGCAGGCATACAGGTGATCAATGGGATGGGACAGTGCTGTCTGCAACATGTTTCATACAGAGAGCGCTGTCATCATGTGTCGCTTCGATTTCGCATGCTCGGATGCATGGATGCTCACACATGCACGGATTGGATGCTCGTTTGGCACTGATGCCATCACCTCTTCTCCCTCCCTCTTTTTTCTAATCTCCCTCCCTCTTTTTTCTAATCTCCCTCCCCCCAATCCCCCTTCCCCCCGCTGCCAATTTTTGAGGCGCCTCAAAAAGTTTCCCCATTTCTCCATACCAGCTGGTGGATGCCATTGGAAATACCATTTCGCTGCCAACTGGTATTTCCCCATTTCGCCATACCAGCTCGTGGATGCCATGCGTCGGACTGTGAGCAACATGCTGGGGTCGCTGCCACCTCAATACTCTGAAGTCACCGTGTGTTCCCCCTGTTCCCTCCCGCCTGCTCGCCCGCACCATTCACCACCCCTTTCCCTCGCTCACCAGCTGGTGGATGCCATGCGCCAGACTGTGAGCAACATGCTGGGGTCGCTACCGCCACAATATTTCGAAGTCACTGTCACGACGGTGAGGCTGGTTGGGTGTTGGGGTGATAATGAGAGTTGTGGCCGTGATATGTGGTTGAGTTGAGACTGGGATACTTGTCACATCGGCCCGCGGTCTGGTCTGAGAGATATCGGGGGTTGTGAGTGCAATGAGAGGGGGTGCGGTGCGGTTGGGAGGTGGCTGCAATACTTTGAAGTTGCTAATGCCATTCCATGGTTGAGAGTTGAGAGGATGAAAGTGCTACTGAGAATCAGGGGGAGCGTGGCTATTCTCTTTTGAGTCGGCTCAAAGGGCCGCCCGCTACCCCCCGACTTCCCTCCACCCATCCCCACTGGACAGGTTGGGGAGAACCTAGCACAGCCCATGTTTGGGGTCACGATGATGAGAGGTTGCATGTTTGCTAGTCAACCCAGTATGTGTCTCCCTCCCAACCATGCATGCAATGCAGGTGGGGGAGAACCTAACTCAGCCCATGTTGAGCGTCACGATGACATGTTCCCTCCCTCTTTTTTTTGGGTGCCATTGATGTTTTGGGTGCCACTAACTAACCCTTCTCCTCTCCACACCCAAGTCACACAAGGTTGAGGTTCAAACCCCGCGTCTTTTGAGGCGCCTCAAAACTCACACCCAAATCACACAAGGTTGAGGTTCAAACCAAACCCCGCGCTCTGTCCCCATCCCAATCCCCCATGGCTGGTGGGGGAGAACCTAGATCAGCTCATGCTCAGCGTCATGATGAGAGGTTACATGTTCCGCAACGCGCAGTACCGCCTCGACCTCATGTTCCGTTGATGGTTTGGGTGCCACTAACTCAGCCCTCTTCACATCCCAATCACACAAGGTTCAAACCCCGCCCTGTCCACATCCCAACCACACAAGGTTCAAGCCCCACTCTGTCCCTCCCCACCCCAATCCCCATCCCAATCCCCCATGGCAGGTGGGGGAGAACCTAGCCCAGCTCATGTTCAGTGTGATGATGACGGGTTACATGTTCCGCAACGCGCAGTACCGCCTCGAGCTCGCCACCTCCTTCACTGCTGCCGTCGCCCTCCCTGCTGCTGCTGCCGCCCCCTCCTCCCCTCCCCACCTCCCTTCCGCCTCCTCCTCCTCGTCCTCCTCCTCTCCTCCCCCCCTCCCCTCCGCCTCCTCCTCCTCTCAGCCGCTACCAGCGTCCTCTTTGTTCCAAGAGCGGGACGGGAGAGGGAGCAGAAGTGGCAGCAGCGGGAGTGACTCTGACTCCGGCTCTGTGTCCCCATGGGTATGTGGTCTTGGCTCAGGTGGGCTTGGGTTAGGTATGGGTAGGTATGGATGGGTGGGCATGGGTAGAATGGGTGGGCATGGTTTGCCATGGATTGCCATGGTTTGCCATGGGTGCGAATCCGTGTATGTGTGCCCTGTGTCCCACGGTTTTCTCGCCCCTTTTCTCTTGCTGTCAAAGTGCTCCCTTCCTCCTCCACTTCCCCCTTCACTATCTTTCTCCCTTCCTTTCTCCAAATCATTCCTCTCCTTCCGTTGTCTCTTCTTCTCGTCACGCTCTTTGCCCTCATTCTCTCGTCATCCTCCTCCCATCCAGCCACCACTAGGCACTGCAGTCCCTCTTGGTCTGGTACAGAGACTATTCGGCCATCAAGGTGCCTCTGTCACTAACTCCTTTCTCCCTTAGGTTTAGCTGGGGAGGTGCTTCGGTATCGATTCCTCTTCTGTGCTCCCTCCCTCCCCTCCCATACTCCACAATCCAGCCACCAACCGATAGTGCCCTCCCGCTAGGTCCGGTGCAGAAGACCCACGTGGCAGGCGAGGTGCTTCGGTGGGACGCCGAGGCTGAGCGGGTGGTTCGGGTGCCAGCTGTCGACTATGTCGAGCTTCTGGAGGGGGAGGTTCGGGCTCTCAAGAGACGTTTAGAGGAGGAGCAAGCCAGGCTGGCAAGAGCAGGAGGAGGGGGGAGCGGTGCTGGGGGAAACGCACTGTTGGAGTATCTCAAGGGGCTGGAGCCGCAGAACATTCAGGAGCTGACGGCGAGTGCGGATGACGACGCTCTGGCCGCCATGAATGCGTTCATCCAACGGCTGCTGGGCGTCCCTGACGTGGGCGAGATCAAGGTGAGATTGGGATGGGAGAAATCGGTGGTGGTGGGGAGGGGGGAAGGAGTGAGGCAGGGGGGCATGAGACGCCATGAATGCGTTCATCCAACGGCTGCTGGGCGTCCCCGATGTGGGCGAGATCAAGGTGAGATTGGGATGGAAAAGGTGGGGCGGGTGGGTGGGTGGGAGAGGGGGGTCAGTGTGTGGGGGGGGTATGGAGTGAGGCAGGGGGGCATGAGACGCCATGAATGCGTTCATCCAACGGCTGCTGGACGTTGGGGAGAAAAAGGTGAGATGGGGATCGGGAGGTGAGGGTGAGATGGGGATCGGGAGGTGAGGGTGAGATGGGGATCGGGAGGTGAGGGTGAGATGGGGATCGGGAGGTGAGGGTGAGATGGGGATCGGGAGGTGAGGGTGAGATGGGGATCGGGAGGTGAGGGTGAGATGGGGATCGGGAGGTGAGGGTGAGATGGGGATCGGGAGGTGAGGGTGAGATGGGGATCGGGAGGTGAGGGTGAGATGGGGATCGGGAGGTGAGGGTGAGATGGGGATCGGGAGGTGAGGGTGAGATGGGGATCGGGAGGTGAGGGTGAGATGGGGATCGGGAGGTGAGGGTGAGATGGGGATCGGGAGGTGAGGGTGAGATGGGGATCGGGAGGTGAGGGTGAGATGGGGATCGGGAGGTGAGGGTGAGATGGGGATCGGGAGGTGAGGGTGAGATGGGGATCGGGAGGTGAGGGTGAGATGGGGATCGGGAGGTGAGGGTGAGATGGGGATCGGGAGGTGAGGGTGAGATGGGGATCGGGAGGTGAGGGTGAGATGGGGATCGGGAGGTGAGGGTGAGATGGGGATCGGGAGGTGAGGGTGAGATGGGGATCGGGAGGTGAGGGTGAGATGGGGATCGGGAGGTGAGGGTGAGATGGGGATCGGGAGGTGAGGGTGAGATGGGGATCGGGAGGTGAGGGTGAGATGGGGATCGGGAGGTGAGGGTGAGATGGGGATCGGGAGGTGAGGGTGAGATGGGGATCGGGAGGTGAGGGTGAGATGGGGATCGGGAGGTGAGGGTGAGATGGGGATCGGGAGGTGAGGGTGAGATGGGGATCGGGAGGTGAGGGTGAGATGGGGATCGGGAGGTGAGGGTGAGATGGGGATCGGGAGGTGAGGGTGAGATGGGGATCGGAATGTGATTTTTGAGCCGACTCAAAAATCACCATCGGGAGGTGAGGGTGCGATGGGGATGGGGGGAGCAAGGTGAGATGGCAATAGGGAGGAATTAAGGTAAGGGAGTGTGGAAGATGTGGGGGCGATGGGATGAGGTGAGAAGTATGTGGCGATAAGAGTGAGGCAAGTTGCCATGGGGATGCCTGCATCCAACGGCTCGCAGGGGATCTTGATGTGGGGAAAATCAACGCACGATGTGGACAGGGAAGTGAAGGTGAGATGAAGATATGGAGACAATATAGGGGAAGGGACACAATGTGTGTGTGGGCATGCGTGCATGAAAATGCTCTCGTTTTCTCTTTCTCTCCTCGACCCCACTCCCCACCCACTCTTCCCATGAACCTTATTCCCAGTGCGTGGCGTCAGAGGCTACAGTAACTTAGCTGGCAAAGCTGCTCTATTGGCTCATCGTGGTGGGCTATGACCCGCTATTGAGGCGCCTCAACAGCATTTCCCCACGTCCCCTCTTTCACCCCAATTCCAGTCCGTGGCATCAGAGACTACAGTGACCGAGCTGGCAAAGCTACTCTATTGGCTCATGGTGGTGGGCTACAGTCTGCGCACCTTAGAAGTCCGATTCGATATGGATAGAGCCCTCGCCGCACCTGCAGTGCAGAAGCGCGCCGAGCTCCCACCACCAGGAGGCAGTGATGGGTGGATCACGCCAGGCAATGATGGGTGGATGATATGAAAGCAAGGTGAAAGGTTGCAGTTGGGAAAACTAGGGGCCACATATCCATTGCTCGTGATTGGTGCATGGACTCTTCTTGTGGTTCTACGGGTACAGTTATGGACCTCGTGTCTGGCCCGCTTTGCTCCGAACCGAATGAGGATTGAACTGCGCTGTACTGTGTTACACTGTGAAATCAAACATTTGCAGCGTGCATCTGTACCACGCGAGCTAGACGCCTGACGTGGAGATATGAGACCGTAGAAGTGCTCCCTAATTCTACCATAAAAGGTTCACATGAACCGTGCTACCGTTTTCGATATGAAGCACCTTACGCCAGTAATATATTTGTGAATTGCATTCATTTACAGGGCCTTGCACACTTGTAGTTCATTCATCGCCAGCAGCCTCGCGTTGGAGTTCAGTTGTAACTGTCGCTCTCCTTGGAGCCCTCAGTATCGAAGCATCGGGTGTTTCTGCCGTGGTTCTGCTGACCACCTCCTCACCTTCCCCACCGTCAACCTCCTATCCGTTGCGAGCACCAGCCCGACCCTGGAACAACGCCTACCCCATGCTCCTCCTATTCCTAATTCCGTCCTTCCTACTGCACAGTATCCTCCTGTGGCCCGTTGCCTTGTAGCGATAACTGATCTTGTACGTCCAGCTTCTGTGGTCTTATCACCACCAACTCCAGCCTGGCAATTGGTTGGGGTGCGTGGCACTACCGTGTGCGCCAGACTGGCGAGACCACCTCCAGGCGTTTGTTTCGCCTGGCGAATTCGAATCTGCAATAGCTCTGCTGGGAGTTCACCAAGCGACAGCCTGCGGACTTGTCAGTGCTTCACAGAGACAGCCTCCACAAGGAGTTTCACTGAGCCTATGCCTGAGCGTACTGGGTCCAGTACAGGCTCCACTGGCGATTCAAGTTCAAGGCTACTAGTAGGGCTAGAGATCCGACGAGCCGGATCGCTACGGCAGAGCTGCCTCTAGAAATACCTGGCATTGGTAGCTTTGCCGAACCGAGACAGGGTTTCCCAGGGCTACTAGGGCTAGAGACCTGACACACCGTAGTGCCACGGCAGAGCTGCTGCGAGGAAGCTCAGCCTGGCCTGGGGACGATCCTTCGTGCGATCAGCAAGGCGGCCCTTCGCTACACGCGGTTGACCGGTCACGCGGAGTTGCTAGTGGGTTGCTAGTGCGATATGTCGGTCCGAGTCTCGAACTGACTTTTGAGTCGACTCAACGGTCACGCGGAGTTGCTTGCGGGTTGCTAGAGCGATATGTCGGTCCGAGTCGCGATGGAACTTTCCTTCAGTCTCAGTCGGCCCGCGCGCGATTCGAAAGCAAAGATGATTGATCCGTTTGAGGTTCCATAAAAGAAATCAGCGTTCATTTCAGCTCGTCGTCAGTCCAGATCAACAACCTTTCCCCGACATTACTATCATTACCAGCTCAACAGGCAGCCCAGTCATTACTAGCAGAGTGCGTTCTTGTTATAAGTAGGGTTGTTACACGTGCCAACTATGGGAAGGCTTGAAAATTTCGCCCTGCCGTTTCTGTTCCTGTTGCCGTGCTGCATGATGGCGTGTGCGCCAGCAGATGCAGCACGCGCGTTGAAGGAGAATCTGGTCAACCCCAATGGCCCAACCCTCTCACTCCAGGCGTTTCGTAACACAGCAGCTGACAACGCTTCTCTTTCCCCTGCTGCTGCAGCAGCAGCAGCAGCCGGAGGCGATCAGAACAATGGTTCTGCCACGGAGGCTGCTGTGGAATCTGAGCCGCCCATCAACCCCGTCTCCGAGCCTGCTGCGGGATGCGAGGAGTCTCCAGCTGATAATGTTGGCGATGTGGAGACAGCTGACGAGCAGACAGGGGACGAGCAGACAGGCGACGAGCAGACAGGGGACGAGCAGACAGGTGACGAGCAGACAGGGGACGAGCAGACAGGCGACGAGCAGACAGGGGACGAGCAGACAGGCGACGAGCAGACAGGGGACGAGCAGACAGGCGACGAGCAGACAGGGGACGAGCAGACAGGGGACGAGCAGACAGGCGACGAGCAGACAGGGGACGAGCAGACAGGCGACGAGCAGACAGGGGACGAGCAGACAGGGGACGAGCAGACAGGCGACGAGCAGACAGGGGACGAGCAGACAGGCGACGAGCAGACAGGCGACGAGCAGACAGGGGACGAGCAGACAGGCGACGAGCAGACAGGTGACGAGCAGACAGGGGACGAGCAGACAGGCGACGAGCAGACAGGTGACGAGCAGACAGGCGACGAGCAGACAGGGGACGAGCAGACAGGCGACGAGCAGACAGGTGACGAGCAGACAGGGGACGAGCAGACAGGCGACGAGCAGACAGGTGACGAGCAGACAGGCGACGAGCAGACAGGGGACGAGCAGACAGGCGACGAGCAGACAGGTGACGAGCAGACAGGGGACGAGCAGACAGGCGACGAGCAGACAGGGGACGAGCAGACAGGCGACGAGCAGACAGGCGACGAGCAGACAGGTGACGAGCCTGATAGTGCTGACTCCAGTGCTCCTGTTCCGAATGACCATGGTCCGTACCTTCTGGGATCTGATCTAAAGCCTGCCGAGGGATCAGAAGAGGAGGTTCCAGCAGGAGATGAGCATGGGCCGTTGCCAGTAGTCCATGTTCCTCAGCCGGAAGATGCAGATGAGGAAGAGGCTTCAGGTTCCCAGGGTGCTCCACCCAAGCCTGATGGTGCTGATATCAATCCTCCACCTGTTTCGAATGCCTGGTTGAGGTCAGGTGACGAAATGGCACAGATGGCAAACGACCATGGTCCGGACCTCATGACAACCGATCCTGTCCCATCAGCTGAGGATGATTCTTCTTTCCCACCAGCTGAGATTTCCTCTATTTTCCCAGCAGCAGCAACAGCAGCCGTAGGCGATCAAGGCGGAGGTTCCAGCGTGGAGGCTGCAGTGGCATCTGAGGCGTCCATCGACCCTGCCTTCGAGGCTGCTGTGGGACATGAGGAGATTCCAGCTGGTTATGGTGATGATGAGCAGACAGTTGACAAACAGGCAGGTGACGAGCCTATTGGTACCGAGTTCGGTGCTCCGCCTGTTCCCAGTGCCTGGTTGAGGTCAATTGACCAACTGGCACCGATGCTGAATGACCATGGTCCATACCTTGTTGGGTCCGATTTCATGCCAGCCGTGGGATCAGAGGAGGCTCCAGCAGGTGATGCGCATGGGCCCTTGTCAGTAGTCCATGTTCCTCAGCCTGAAGAAGAAGAACCTGGGGAGGCGCCAACCGAATCCCAGGGTGCTCCATCCAAGCCTGATGGTGTTGATGCTGGTGTTCCTTTTCCCAATGACCATGGTCCCTACCTTCTGGGGTCCGATCCCATGCCAGCTGTGGGATCAGAGGAGGCTCCTACAAGCGATGAGCATGGGCCCTTGCCAGTAGTTTATGTTGCTCTGCCGGAAGCACCAGGCGGGGAAAATCCCGCTGGTTCCCAGGATGCTCCACCCAGGAATTGATATTCCACCTGTTGGAAATAAAAATACATGGTTATGTAAGGTTGCCATTGCCAACACCACCTTGGAAGGGATTGCCTTTTGTCGAGTGTTGAGGGTTTGATGTCAGCTTGCGCGCTTATCATGTTTCCTTGTGTGCAAATTTCTAGTGGAGGCTAAGAGCTACTTTATTAGATCTATTGTTGAACCCTTGTTCTGTTACTGCGAAAATGTAGTTAGTCGGCAATGAGGTCACAACGAGGCCAATGTTTCATCTGTCAAGATTATATAAGTTATATATAATTGATAGGCTTGATAGTTGTGCTACTGCATCCTACTGTAGAGGGGATAACTCCCCTTCTTGTACCTCATTCTCTTCTAGTTCAACAACTCTTCTCTCTCGACTTTTCTCCTCACGCTCCTAGATCTACTTTCCTCACGCCATTCCATGGCGGCATTCCTAGTATCCTAGCTAAGCTAGGTTCCTAAGTTTAGTTCCTATCTGTTGGAAATATCTCAAGGACTTAAGCGTTTCTGAAGTGTAACACTGTACTCGAGGAAGATTACAGGGGAGCACGCGAGTCAACGGAGGTTACACGAGGGGGCGGACAAAGAATGCGAAAGGACTCGAAAGGTCGCAACTGGAGGTTGCGACTGACCGTTACAACATCACGGATGGTAACCGAAGCGGCAATCGAGTCGCTGTGCGACTCGATAAACCGTTCCTGTAACTGTATTCTACAACTGCTTTCTTATCTTCTATATATTGCTGTATGCTTGTTTCTTTAATCAATCACTTGTTCTCACATACTAGTACAAGGGTTCAACTGCCTCAACTTCCGCTGCACTACTCCAAGTCTCAAGTCTCTACAAGCTGGGACTTAGTCTCTGCAAAAGATCCTAAGGGCTTTTTCTCAGCCCAACATGGTATCAGAGCTGGTCGGAGACCAAACTCCCAGCAACTACGCTCCATCAACGACCTGCAACTCAACTTGATTCAACAACTCCATTGATTACAAGACATGGACAACAAGGGCAAGAAAGTCTCTACGGGCTCACCCAGCGCCCAAGAAACTCAACACGGCAACTCTGGTCTGCACACCTCAGGACTGCAGACAGAGACCGGGACTACTCAAGAAACAACGGGAAGAGTACCAGAGATGGTGACTCCGTCTCCCTCTTCAAGTGTGGACCCGAATCTCATGGAGAGATTCTTCAGCTTCATGTCACACTTCGATCAGCAGCAGCAGACAAGGACACCTGCGCACTCAACACAGAGCAATGGAGGGAATATGGGATTAGCGCCGATGAGCCTCGACAACTCATCCTTCGGGCGACACAATCAAGCGCCTACCTTTGCGCCTTATCACTCTTCACCGGGGACGTTCGAGTTCATGCCGCCCCGTGCCCAACCAACAGCAGCTGCATCACAACAAACACCAAACGAGATTTTAAGTCTCCAGGCACAGTTTTCACACGTGATTAAACTGCAGACATCATCACCGTTCAACGGACACGACTTCTTTACCTGGAGCTTCGAGTTCGAGCTGCTGATGGAGGCCGCGCATCTTCTGGGATACTTCAACGGGTCCCTGCCATTCCCAAGCAACGGCACTGGGAAGGAACAAGAGATCTTCACGTATCAGTCGCTGCTGGCGTACACGGTACTCCTGAGAAACCTGTCACCACAAGAGCAGCAGAGCATCAGAACGTATCGGAGTTATGGAAACTCCGCGGAGCTCGCATGGCACCACCTCAAGTGCCTTTACCAAGCAAACGACAGCGTGACACAAAGCAGACTCATGCAACAGCTGACAACAATACAGATGAAGACCGGGGAAAAGGCGATGCAGTATATGAGTCGCTGCCAGACCCTCCGCGACCGCCTGCTTCGGTGCGGAGGAACGATCACTGAAGAAAGCTTCGTGACACTTGTCCTCGCCGGGCTCGGGCCAGAATGGAGAACCACACGATCACTTCTTCGAGCCCACGGAAGAATTTCGGAGATGCACCTCTGCGCCGAGCTTCACGCTGAACAACAGGAGATGGATCTGTTCGAGGAAAGACAACCAAGGAAGCAACAGCAGTTAGTCTTCTACACTCAAAGAAGAAATGACAACAACTACAACCGACGCAGCAAGCAAGATCAACGCGACAACCGAGGACTCACCATCGTGCCGCCGTTCTGCCACAACTGTCAGACTTCCGGGCACTCCAAGGTCAACTGCAACCGCCCTCGCGTTTACCGTGCAGCAGACCCACAAGTCGCTTCCACTCAAGCAAGTCCTCCAAGGCGCTCTTCAACATCTGCACAACAAACACCCAACATCATCAACTGCATGGTACACATCGACAACTGCGCACCCGCTTCACCACCCACTTACGCACCAGACGAAGAGGAATTCCCGCCGCCGCGCTCGCAAGGACTTCAGGTCAACCCGACATACGCTGCAGTCGCTAACGCCGAACCCACCGGGCGGAACACCTGGTTCTTGGACAGTTGCTGCGGTCAGCACATTTGCTCCTCCGGACGCTTCGTACAACACGAGCGACGCCTCAACCGCGACGTCGTCATCACCGTCGCCAACAACGAAAACCTGAAAACAAACAGACAAGGCGTGGTTCAGTTACAATCAATGGAGACAAACGTTATTCTTCAGCTCAACAAAGTCCTCATCGTCGACAATCTGGGATACAACCTACTAAGCGTAAGCCAACTAATGGCTAAGGGGATTCACCTGGAGTGCGACTCCTTCTCCAACGAGTTCCGCCTTTACCACGGGAAGGGCGGCCTCTTCATCGGTCGTGCCCTCCTGAAGTCCGGTGTCTTCGTGTTGGACTTCGTCCCCGACCGCGGAACTGCCGACAGCGATGGCATCGTATCGTTCGCCGCCTGGACTCACCCGCCGGATCTTGATCCCGACTTCGACAGTGACGGCTTCTGGCACTCCAACACCATACCTGCAGCAGAGAGAACACGAGCATTAGCAGTTATCAGACAAGAAAGACAAGTACCCGCAAGTGTCCCAACAAAACCATCACCTGCAGTATCGGCAGCAGGACCCAGCCGAGTACCACCATCATCAACACGAGGACCGCCAACGGAGGCAGACCAACTTATGCCCGCCACACGAGAAGCTTGTCGAAGTCCCGCCTCGGTCGTCGCGTTCTTCTCCAACGCCGACATCTACCACCGCTCGCCCGGTCACCGTGCTCCCGACGACATCTGGCACCAACGCCTCGGACACCCTGCAAACAGCACAATACTTCAAACAATCCAAGCAGAGGTGTTAGAACGTAACGCCCTTCTAACGACGAGCGGCCAAGAACTTCGCCGACCAAGAGCACGATGCTTCACGTGCCCCGAAGCAGATCTTCCTCATCAACCCTTCCCATCCCATCATAATCCAAGCGCGCCTGCATATGCAACGATGGAAAAAGTCTACAGCGACATCTTGAACATGCCTCGAGACGACACGGAAGCCGACTTCAACTACGTCATCACCTTCGTCGATGCAGCAACAAGATACACTTGGCATTACAACCTCAAGACGCGCGATCAAGCCTTCGACGCCTTCACAACATGGCTCCCCATCGCCGAGCGGGAATCAGGAACCAAGCTCAAAAGCTTCCAGTCAGACGGTGCCCTAGAATACCAGTCACAACGCTTCAGGACCTATCTGGCGGAAAGAGGAATCAAGCGCCTGGTGTCCCTACCATACGCTCACCAGCAGCAGGGGGTCGCCGAACGCATGAACCGGACCTTGCAGACGACGATGCGAAAGCTGCTCCTGGGGATGAGACTGCCCAATACACTGTGGCCAGACGCGATGACACATGCAGTCCACCTGCACAACCTGTTGTCCTCGTCATCGCTCCCCAACAACGCATCACCGCACCTGCTGTGGACGGGAAAAAGGGGCAGCACAAAATTACTTCGAGTTTTCGGCTGCATGGTACAATACAGACCCCACACAGCTCGAGCAGGACGCTTCACTCAACGAGCTCGGTGGGGACTACACCTCGGCATCGCCAAACATTTTCACGCGTGGAAGATTCTCGACATACACGACAAAAATACGGTGGCATCACGTGATGTTATCTTCTACGAGCGACTGACGCTGCAGCATTACCTGGACAACATTGCCAACTCAGACGACCCCACCGACGGCTTCGCGGGCCTTCGCTCCTTCGCTGACCATGCTACCGAGGCTGACGCAGCAGAAGAAGACGTCCCTGGAGCCTCGGAGGCTGCCGGACCACTCCCCTACTGCTCCGTACCTGTTCCACTCGATGAAGATAATCCCCTCGATAGCAACAACCTCGACACCTTTTACCACTTCGCTGACCAAGGCTACGCTACACCACACCCCGTCGACTCGAATATTTCCGAACGCATCGGGCCAAACTTCTTACCCGATCCTGAAGACGGTGATGAAGCAGCTTATCCCGAGAATGAAAACTCCCCTCGACACACAGCCACGGGACTGCAGATCCTAGGACTATGGGTCTCCGTCCAGCACCCGCCGCCGCCTTCTCCGCGCGAGCCGTCGACCCTGTCGCAGGCTCTGGGGGGGGAACATAAGGCACAATGGAAGGAAGCGATGGAAAAAGAGTTAAAAGCTCTGCAAGACCGAGAAACATGGAAACTGGTACCTGCAACGAGCATCAACGGGAAGAACATTCTCTCGGGGAAATGGGTGTACCGCATCAAGACCAACTCAGACGGCTCCATCGAACGATTCAAAGCTCGATGGGTCGTACGAGGTTTCGATCAACGATACGGAACCGACTACAAAGAAACCTTCGCTCCAGTCTCCCGTCACACCTCCCTGCGCATCCTACTCGCCATCGCGGCCACGAAGAAACTACCACTACGGCAAATCGACGTTGCAAACGCCTTCTTGTACGCACCTGTGGACGCCGAAATCTTCGTCGAACAACCCCACGGATTCATCGACGACCCTTCAAAAGTATGCCAGCTGGAAAAATCCCTTTACGGGATCAAGCAAGCCCCACGGCTCTGGCAGCAGCACCTTCACGGCCGGCTCGTAAAAATCGGATTCCTACAGTTACCACATGACCAAGGCATGTACCGACTACAGAAGGGAAGAGATTACATTCTGCTCATCGTCTACGTCGACGACCTGCTCTACATCGGTTCTACCACCGACATCGTCACCTGGTT